GCCGCCGTGCGGCGCTGGACGGGGGAGGATAGGAACCAGGGTGCCGGGGAAGCAGCAGCTAAGCATCCCACACCATGTTCACCATGCTTCCCTTCCAGGAGCACAGCAATTTTGCCCTCACACATCCATCCAAATAGTCCCCAGGGCAGAGGGGACAGTGATGAAAACCTTGTGCTGAACCCTCTTCCCCAAAATTCAGCTCCTATAAACAGCTAAAAGTCCCACCCCCAACACTATTCTTTGAAGGCATTACTTCATCCACACAAAGAACGAAGATTTTTCTTTTTTTTTTTTTTTTTTTCAAAAAGAGAAGTAGCCGTAGTACCTATGGGGACATCCAACATCAGGGTTTGGACCAGACCAGAAGAAGTCTGCAAGCTTTCCAGCACCTGGCCACAGCCACGCAACCAACCCTGGGGCAGAGCAACCCACCGCCCGGCCGGAGCAACATCGCGTGGGGCCAGCAGCAAGATCTCCCTGTGCCCAGCTGCAAGGCATTACATTGGTGCAAGTAATAAGCAGAGTGGGAGTGAAAAGGAAGGGTTGGTTTTTTTATACATATATAAATAGAGGCAATATCTAAGAAGGGGAAGTGACTCAGAGGGTCAGAGAAGGAGCAGAACAAGTGGGAAAAAAAACAGAAGCAGCCTCCCCACTGCCAAATGTCCAAAAAGCATGCAGCAACAAGGCAAAGCAGGGACTTTAGGTTAGAAAAGAGGAGGTGGTGGTGGCAAGGGGTGTCAGGGGACAGGGACTTGAGCAGGAGAGGGAGGAAAGAGGGCTGGAGCCCCACAGGGCAGCCCAGGCCTTCAGGCCAAATCCAGCAAGCTCCTTCTCCAGGCTCAAACTGCCTTCAGCTCCTGCCTGGCTCTGGCATGGGATCCACATAGCATTCCCAGCCAGAACAAGCAGAGCCCCAAGGTGCCTACCAGCCCCACCACTGCCCCATGCTCTGCCAGGGGCTCACCTTGCCAGCACCTGGCATCCTCAGTGATTCACAGTGATGCCCAGCTTGATTTTCTCTTCGTTTTCTACATCGTAGACACCCCTCTTGTGACATCTGTGAGACCAAGCAAAGAGATGTTCAGAGCATGGATAAGTCCCTGTCACCTTCCCCTGCACATGGTCTTCCTGGGGACATGGATGTGACGGCTTAGCCCCGTCCCACTCACCTGAGCATCAGCAGGGCTGCAATGATGATGAGACACAGGGAGGACAGGACAACAGCAACGACAGCCAGTGCCGTGGTGTGGTCGTATGTGCTGGGGGGGTGCTCCACAGGCAACGAGAGGCCATGGCATCTCTCTCCATGATATCCTGGCTGGCATCTGGGCAAGAAGAAAAGTTTTAAAGGTTGGTGGTGACCAAGCACAGAATTCTGGTCATTGGGTTCGTGGTGACCATGCACAGAGGGACCCAATGACCTTCACACCCCCATGGAAAGGAGCTGCCTCTTTGCTCAGCCTTAGCCAGCACCCTGCCCATTCCCCTTGCTCTGCGTCCCCTGAGCTGGGAAGTCTGGTGTCACCATCACCTCCCCGGTACTGGTAAGTTATCTCCTGCCCCAAGCACAAAGACTCCTAGAAAGGTTGAGCTCAACCTAGTAGAGGGCACCAGGGTCTGTGCTCTTCCCAACCACCCACAGGCAGAGCCAGGCTGCCCAGACCACCTCTGTAAGTGGGAAGTCCCACACAAGGGAGCAGAGAGGCAGCTGGATGCGAGCTCAGCGCTTCCCTTGGAGCAGGCCGTCCCTGCACACCCTGCCAGACAGAGAGGTGCCACCTCCCTGCAGACTCAGGAGGTTACTCACGTAACAGAAATAATGCTCCCCAGCAGAGCTGTGAGGCTGCTCACCCTCCCCGTGAGTCAAAGTGCACTGATGCAACCAGATATATTTATAGAGAGAGAAAGAGAGAGATAACTCTTTCTCCATATCCAGTGCCACTGACCCTCAAGCTTATCTCCAAGACAGGGTCTCAGCCCAGCCCTCATGCCCGGCTTGCAACAACGTCGTGCACTAGCGTCACCTCCCAGCCACAGCAGCAAGGCTGGGCACAAGGCAAAGGTGCAGGACCCAGCCTGGCAGCATCCTCATCCCACCCTGCAGACCAGCCCAAGGAGGCAACGATCCAGGAGACCCAGGCAGTGATCCAGGAGACCCTGTGGCATGGGCAGCCAGCCACCAAGAGCAGCCACAACCAAGTGACACCAGCCAACACAAGGCCTCGTTATCGGGACTGGGGCAGTTGGCTGCGGTTCCTAAAAAACCATGATGGCTCTGGGGAGATGTAACCCAGGGATGCACCACCAGGGTGGAGACCCCCAGCCAGCTCCTCCTGCTTGCCGATGTCCCAGGTCCCCCAGCCCCAGAGATCTGGGAAGGGTGGGAGGCTGGGCAGGGGACACCTGTCTGTCCCAGTCCCAAGCAGAGTGTGCTGCACCCACATTGTGCTGGGTCATCAGCCCAAGCTGAGCCAGCAAAGACCTCTTCTTACTGGCAGTCCCGAGCCCCCTGTGCAAGGGCCCAACTTCATGACAGCTTCCAGGCAGAGAGAAACTAAGCGGTTCAAGGAGATATGCGGAGCCTGATCCCTGCGGATTGCAGAGCGCGAGATCTTGTGGGCACCATAAGCCAGGGAGCTATTATCTTCCCCGGGCTCCAGTCTGGGTGGCTCAGAGGATTGATAGCAAAGAACAAAGCCTCTTATATATCTGCCAGCTCAACCCCTGCCCACGTAAGCGGGGATCAAGTCTGCACCCCTGGGTATTTCCCGTGGTAGCAGTGCTGGATCTAGGTGCCCCAGCAGACTGTCCCCAAAGGTGCGACCTCCAATCCACCTTGCTGATGCTACAGCAGAGATGCTCCTCCTGCCTGCACCAGTACATCCCGACAGCCACAGGCGCCCGGAGCTCTCAGCCAAGGCTGGCAACAGCGAGGGACAGGGGGACAGCAGGGTTAGAGAGTCAGGATGGGGCCTCGCAAACCAGACCTGCAGAAAACCTTGGCTGCAAGACCCTGCTGACCATCCACGCCCCACCACCACGGGTCACTGCACAGCAGCTCAGCCAGAGCTCACTGTGCCAGTGGGTGATGCTGGGTCTAAGTCCACAATGGATTTTGGTGGCGGATGGACATTGCCCAAGAAGCACAAGGAAGAGGCCAAGTCAGAGCTATCCCCACATGGACGGGGAACATGCACTAAAAATATCTCCCCCGCTCTTC